TTTTCATCTTGTTCAGGGTACAGATGACAGAAGCACGTTTGAGCTCACCTGTACTACGTGATGTATACTAAAATTCCCGTTACCCATGTTTTATACCCGTGGGTGAGGCGATCTCCTTCATAATATATCAGCCAAGATTCTGTTTACCAATTTGCTGTGGGTTGTATCACTCTCACGCCATGCAGCAATGAAACGATTTGTGTCATAGTACAGACCCTTAAAAGCGTAAGGTATTTTGGGTACTACTGATAAACATTTAATCGACCCAATGCTGTCTGATTTCGTCGACGAGAGTTTCAGATAGATAACCCCCTTACAAGAAGGAACGAAACCGCTTGGATTCAATAAGGCTGTCTCAAATGAAATGAAACGAATCTAACTAGAGTTTAGTTTTTTAGGAGTATCATAACACTGCAACATATATGTTGGTCCATATCGTTCAGCTTCCTCCCTGCATGGTGCGGTCAGCAAAAGCCCAGTTCATCATCACTAAAAGACTTATAGTATGGTGCAGTAATCGCTCTTTATGAGCACACTTGCATCGTTGCGAATACAAGTTCAACATTACGGAGTCTCTTCCAGTGCACAGCTTTCTTGAAGTAAAAATGGATCACCTTGAAGAAGCGGGCATTCCTGCCAGCTAGACCAAACGTGTTTCGTAGAAAAGTCGCAGTAATCCGCTAATGTTGTAAACGGTTTTCGTACGTCGAAATTTTTCCGGTTAAATGGTTTGATTAGGAATAAGACCAAAATCAGGTCCACCTACAGGGTATGCCACTGTTTCATAATAGATAAGGGGGCAAGGAATTTGTGATTTTACGTCAGGGATTTTCAAGATTGGGCATTTTACAAGTGGTTTGTTGCACAGTTCTCTTCGTAGGAACACTCACTCATCGAGGGGCCAGTCAGAACACACCGATTTCCTGAGCTCAACTCCGTCGTTCACACACACACACACCTGAATGATGTAGCAAGAAACGTCAGACATTCCTTCAAGTTTGTCAACAATCCTAAACAAGAAACCTTATACAAGAATGAAATATTTATCAGTTTTGATATACCCTCTCTAGGGATTGGAGTAACTACTACTCAAAATACTGTCATTCACCCGTACAAACTAGCCGTCTGCCGAAATAATAGCACCCGAGAATCGAGCCTGACTTTGTTCACATGCGAACAGACTTGGTACAGACGGAACCACGGGATAGAACGGTCTCCCAAGCAGTCTTATCGGGATATTCAAAAGAAACCTTCAGTTCTCAAATCTTCCATTCATTTAATAGTGGCTTTGTGATAATGTTACAAGAATTTTCGGATAAATTGCTGCATTTTCTAAATACATTTTGACATAGATTAAATGCACTTAATTGCAAAACGAATTTGGCCTTCATGGGAAATCGGACTGAATGCCAGTTTAATATCTAACCTGGAATATTATTCGAATGAGTTCGCTGCAAAACCGTCGCCTGATGATTCAGATGATAGAATATTCGAAATATAGCAGTATATTTCCTTGACGAAGGACACCAAACACACTCATCATCATCATCAGCATCCTCATCAGCATCAGCATCAGCATCCTCCTCCTCCTCATCATCATCATCCTCATCATCCCATCATCATCATCCTCATCATCATCATCATCATCATCATCATCATCATCATCATCATCATCATCATCATCATCATCGTCATCATTTTCAGCTATAATAACCGCGTACTTGTCGTACAGTGGTTGTAGCTGCCACAGTTTCGTTCACTGATGATTTGGGGGGTGGGGTAGCTAGCTGCGCATTGCAGGCGAGAGCTGATAAATTGGTGCATAAATCCAGCACTGTCTGTGGGATGTCAAGGCAATGAAGGCAATAGCTTGGATGCACGAGCGTCATTGAGGGCGCGAGTGGGTCATGTTTGACAGTGTCTCTAGCCATTGATGTGGCCCGTCTCGGGGTCCCCATCCAGGAAGACGGCAGTGACCAGCTCAGATGAGTTTCCTGGTAATGGCTTTTACACTTCGCTGCCAAGTCATTCTTAGAGCGCCTCTGGTTCTCTTTCACCCTTCACGTGGTTTTGCGAAAAGAGCCCTTCGAGGAAGTCGGTCGGCTGGCATACGCAGCACGTGTCTAAGCCGGCGCAACCTATGCAGTGTGATCAGTTCACCTATCGAGGGTGAGTTATTTCTCCCGAATGCCATTCGACGTACTTCGGCAGTGCTGAACCGGTGTTCCCACCACTTTATTTCAAACTAATTTGGCCTTCATGGGAAATCTAAATGAATGCCAGTTTAACATCTAATTTAGAGTATTCGTCAACCGAATTCGCTACGAAACCGTCGCCTGATGATCCAGATGGTAGACTATTCGAAATATAGCAGTACATTTTCTTGACGGGGGACACCAAACACAAGGTCGATGGGAACTTTCCATTTGAGTTTCCAGTTAGAACATGATGAGTGTGTTTTGCATACCGTGTTCAATTCGGGTTCAAGCTGAATTTGACGGAAACTCGGGGTCTTTGCCTACCTGATAAGTCCCAAGAAGGAAGAAGCCCGTCCAGGGCTATTGACGAGATATTGACAAACCTAGGTGTCGCTGTATTTCGGGGTTTATGCCTTACTTGTGACATGAAGCGACTCTCCAAAGCCAGCAAGGTGAATAACATCAGGGATATGCTCTAGCGCTACAACTATCCGGTTGCTTAGCGAAATACACTCATTTGCAAGCTAATTTGGTTTTTCCGAGAGGCTCACCTGGAACCCAGCTGAATCTCCCGTTTGTGACGTTTCCAGATATCTTCCGGTATCTTCCTCTAACAGTGTGCTCTATCACTCGTACACAACAAGAGTCCTAGAAAGTGTCAACTCGTCGACAGACAGATCCCCTACTACCGCACACCACTGGCCGATTCTGTAATGTTCATAGAGAAGTAGAATAAACGTAGCGTTGGAAAGTGACAATCACGTTGGCAGGCAAATGATCTACTCTAAAGACCCACCAGTACCAATGATCAAACCAACTGCTGGGACTGCAGTGTTACCTCCGTTTGAGAGACCACCAGTTCAAGTAGATTGCATGTTGCGGGCTTTCCACCTCAAAACCCCTCGTAATTTAAAAAAAAACTAGAGAAAAGCCGCTTGCTGTGCATGGGGAATCACAATGTTGGCCGAACAAGGACTCAAAGAAGAAATCAACAGAAAAGCAGACTACTGAAAATAGGAGGTACTCTACAAACCAGCAGAAGACAGCCACGATGCAATACGGATCAATAACGGGTCAACCAAAAGAGACAACAATGGACGGCAATTTCAGCAGAAGCGTGGCTGTAGGAAGCAAGAAATACAAACCACAACTCAACACAGATTAAGATCGGACCAACCAGAATCCAGGTTACAGCACAAAGGCTGCTCTTTGTAAACCATATAAACGCAGGCACGAAGAGAGGAACTACCCAACCACCAGCGTACTGAAGATTTCTCCTCGAATGGTGACGAAACGTTTGCAAATCAATTGCCAAGCTCGGCGANATAACGGGTCAACCAAAAGAGACAACAATGGACGGCAATTTCAGCAGAAGCGTGGCTGTAGGAAGCAAGAAATACAAACCACAACTCAACACAGATTAAGATCGGACCAACCAGAATCCAGGTTACAGCACAAAGGCTGCTCTTTGTAAACCGTATAAACGCAGGCACGAAGAGAGGAACTACCCAACCACCAGCGTACTGAAGATTTCTCCTCGAATGGTGACGAAACGTTTGCAAATGAATTACCAAGCTCGGCGAACAGATCAGCAGCCGCCTGATTAATTACCAACTAATACACCCGAGCTACCAAAATTCCAACACAAATCACAATGTTTTTTTACCAGGTTCAGCCAATCCATAGTGGTTGACAAACAATGCTGTGCAGAGGTCGTAGCAATTCACGCAACTTTCCTGCGTCGACTGATATGATGGCCAATCCCCGTACGTAGTCAGCACCCAGAACAAGAGCTAATAGCGTGACCTGAGGTTCGGGCGACGAAAACATGACTATCACGTCTTGACCAATCAGTCTCCCCCGAACGCTCAACGCACATCGATCGATACCAGTCAACCTGTTTCTTTTGTCTTTGCTCCTACGAAGTTAACCCGCATGAGACACCAAACAAACTGCAGTCATTGTGGTATTTTTCCACCAGTGATCAACCAGAACTGGATCGTCGTTCGAGGTGTCGTGCCAACCAATCGCATCGCCCCAACGCGGACGCAACAGCCCGTTTAGACGTTATAATTTAGGTGCGCCCAGCGTACACTAGCCCCACCTGTCAGATATCCGGCATGTTCAACAGTGTCACTGATGGTGAGCTCTAATACGAACAGAATTAGCCTCCCCTCTTTGTGTGGACTCACCAGAAAAATTAGGCCTTGAGAAGAGGTGGACTGTTCAAACGAGAGTGATGTGACAACAGAAAGTGATCGATAGGTTGAGCGACTAAACACCTGCTAATATCGTTGTTGTTTTCACTCATCTCAATCTCCCGTTAGCAAACCATACAAACCGTACCAAAAAGTGGCAAAAATTTCGATGAAACTAGTTTATGATCTGTAAAGGACACGTGATAACTTAAAGGTCAAATGGTCACAGGTTATCCAAGACCCTCTGTTGCATAAAGCACCAGCCGCTGTTGAATTATTCTGTCGGACACTCCAGCACATATTTTATATTATTATTAGGCAGATTTGTTTTCGTATTCGTGCTATAAGTATTAATCATGTGCTAACTGCCTCAGGCCGGCCACAAACTCAAATCGACCACATTGCCATCAGTTATCCATGGCGCGGATCAATAACTGACACGTGCTCGTCCGGAGTCCCTTCTCCTTACGTTTCCCCGGGCCGCGTAAGGTGCGGACGTGTGAGAGTGTAGGGAGAACTCTCTAAAAGCTTTCGTACACAAAGCGGTGCCATCAGGCATGCCCAATCTCTCCATTCCTTTTTAACTTCGCGATCGATGAATTAGTGAGACGAAAGCCGGAGGGTCTCCAAAATCCAGGTGTTCAAATAGTCTGGGAAGAAGACCTTGTCGATCTGGAATATGCAGACGACATCGTTCTCATGTTCGAGGAGGAGGAAAAGGCGCAAGTATTCTTGGATGAACTGACCAAAGTCATCCCGTCCTTTGGCATGCACTTTGCACTTACAAAGTGTAGGGTCATGCTCCTGGTGGTGCAGCCACTGAACAGGCCACTTACAATCCAGGGAGAGGTACTGGAAGTTGTGGAGCGTTTTACGTATCTTGGAAGTTGTATTAGTTCTGATTGTAGTGTGATGGATGAGGTCGATGCACGAATCTGCAAGGCTCGGGCCGCGTTTGCTAATTTGAGACACCTATGGCGTCAAAGTGGTGCATCCCTGAATACCAGGGGACGTGTGTAATCAAAATACGGTGCGGGCTGTTTTGTTGTATGGCTGTGAGACAACCTATTCGGGCAGCGGTACTGAGACGTCTTCAGGCGTTCCACATAGGACCGTAGCTCGTGTGGGTTGGTGTCGGCGTATCCGTAACGAGGCAGTTAGAAAGTGCGTTTTTGGTTGTGCAACGGGTACTTCCATTGAAGAATGTGTCCAGCTCCAGAAGCTGCGATGTTTGGGACATGTGTGGCTTATGCCGAACCATCGTTTGCTGAAGAGAGTGTTGTTTTCCATGTCCAACTTAGAGTGGCGGAAGCAGAGAGGTGGCCAATTCATAACTTAGCAGTGGGGTATGAAGGAGATTACGAAACGCCTGAGTGGTGTCGATGCTAATCTCCTTCCAGAATGTGGACCGCGTGATCCTCACTGTGCCTGATTGGAGACACCACAAGATATGGCTTCCAACCGATGTCAGTGGCGTTTCTGTTGTCAGTTTCTATCCAGATCGTCTGAGTGAGTGTCTGGATGTATAGGCACCTCGAAATGATAGTGGTAAGCTAGCACGAAGCCCCTCTCCCGTCCACCGTTACTCTTTTCCTTACCATAAGGATTACAAATCAGTACGACAAAATCTAAGTTCCAAAAGTGATGTATTTATTCTAAAACTCAATGACTCTCTCCAAGTTGAATATCTTTTCGGTTCCCAAACTATTTTTTGGCAATACATCGAAGAGGAGAGGACTGTTTGGACGGAGTTATTCCGTCAGAAAGAAAGATTTCAGACTAAATCATGGCTGACAGCTTATTCTTGTGGCAGTTCCATCTTCGGATGAGCCTGACACCATAGAAAACTTGTTTATAACCGATAACATGTAAGCAGTCTTTTGAGCGTCACGGGGATGCTAGCATATCAGAACTCGAGATGGAAAGTGGTACCTCACTGTAAAGTATGGACGGATGACAGAAACTATCACACTTTGGTGACTGCGCTTCAACAGGAATGCAGTTTACGTGCGGCGCTATCACACGGTTCATCTATTCCAAAATGACATTCAGAAGATGAAATAAAGATACGGAGCTGATTTTCATGGTCCCCCAAGTTCTATAGGGATGATGCCAAACGGCTTAACTACCGCGCGACGTTTTGTTCGATCGATTGAACAATTCCTTAGCGAGATGCGGCGACTGAGAAAAGGTCAGCTGTACCAGGCGACACTCTCGAGTGTTCGTCCGCGGTTCGTAAGCACCCAGTGTTCAATGAATCGTTTGCAAAAATGAATAACTATGACGCCAAATAATTGGCGCGGATTCCAAAAGGTCGTTCATTATATGCAACATTTTTGGCGAAATGTCGCTTGAATGATCAATATATCTAGTCCAGGTAGACGCCAAATAAACACACCTTTGCTGTTGCTCACATCGGAGTTATGGGCAGGAAAATGCGTTTAGATAGTGCGACTACCTTGTGGGCTGATCACTAGTCTCGATGAGTTTTTGCGTCTCACATGCTGCGTAATCAGTTCAAAACTGTTTCCAAACGAAGATATGCCATAAATAGCTCTGCCACTTTGTTGTATAGGAATCGACCGCACCTTTTGAAACCAAAAACGGACACTCTAGGCTCATAACACGCTTTGAAGAATTCGTTATCTAAACTGCGTTTGACTGATTTTTTTTCCTCAAAGTTAATGGATGGATTCAACCGCATACGTAGACCAAGCTTTTGGCTGTGTTGTTCGCATGTAAATTGCAGCGAGTGAGGAACGAAAGTACATTTCGATACTTTACTCCATTGCTATTGGCTTGATATAACCGAAATAGATTTTCCAATTTTTTTCCATATCAACCTTGCGATGATTAATATACAAAATCCAATGCATTCGACATTGTATCCGCAAACGCATTGTGGATTCCATCACACTGGGAAAGCATTCCGAACACGCGTGCAGTCACGTGAAGGAGTTCAAAGCGTTTGACCTGTATTTACTACTACAATTGTCATTGATTTTTTAAGAGCATTGTCACAAACATCAAAAGTGAATGCTAGCGACGAATACGAAAGGGTAACAGGAGAATATGAGATAAAAGAGAGAAACTTCTCATTTGAAATCATGCCACGAACAGTTACCGTTTGATGATATGAATCCCAACGTATGTAAAAAATTTGGTATGGAAACACGCGTCTAAAGACCAACAACCGAAGAAAGGACAAGCAATGTTGAATGCTCTTCAAGGCGCTGTAGGCGCTAGCACATCAGGCACAGAATGTACGTCATACTGGGTCTGGTGTGAGATTAAATGGCAAAAATGTACATTCAACGCCATGTGCCACGCATAAAAGTGTCATAAGTACGCAGACAGCCCACAATGGCAAGCAAAAACAAGTCGCTGACTGTGACCTCAGGAAGTCTCAGTTCAATAACAGCCTTGGCAGATTGAGGAAAGCAGATCCCTTGATAAGAGATGATCGTCGGTTGGTGGACCTAGAACTTCCCACGAATCAGCTAGCAGTGGATGTTGCTCAAGAGAAATTTCGAGAGCCTACATCAGCTGCGAACTGCATAATTCCCTTTCGTGACAGAGGATTTGATGTTGCACAAACAAGATAAGACTTCATGAAGGAAACTACTCACAAGGTTGCTGAAAATTATTCGACAGCCCACGACCGGTTTTGCCCTTCCAGTCTGGGATACAGACGTTCGCTGTTTACTGAATAGGAAAGCCAGGCAGCAAAGAGGCAGACATCGTAAATAAGGGGCAATCCCCGACATTATCTGGAGAACAGATTTGCCGATCACATGGAAGCTACTTTGATGATCAATAGAATTGCTACCAGATCTAAACGTACTACTTGGGAAAACAAGCTGGCATGATCAGCATGAACTGTAAAAACCGTGGTTCCTTTGTACACGGGTTGTGCGGTTGTGGGAAAAGAGCCGACCGGGGAAGTCAGTCGGCTGACAAACGGGGACGTTTGAACAAGCCAGCTGACGTTTACTACCGCAGTGGTATTTGGAGAAAAATCATAATTTGAAGGCTGTCCATTGGCTTCATTTTCAAAGGCCCTCTCAGTAGGCTAAAAAAGAGAACCGATACCATAAAGGAAACTACCCACAAGGTTCCTGAAAACGCTTCGACAGCCCACGACCGGTTTCGCCTTACTTGGGGCTCCTCAGTCCCCATTACGAAAATGTCCTGCGGTATCTCGAATATCGTGCCAACTGCAACATGAGGCGGCCTGTGTGCAGCACATTCAGCTGCAAAATATCATAAACGAGAATAACAGCTGAGTCTTTCGTGAAAACCAAAGTGATTTGCAAATGAGTGTATTTCTTGAAGACAAGACTTCCTTTGAGAAAAATGAACATAGTTTCCAACGCATGGGCTCACTTAAAAGGACAAAAATCACATTTAGAACCAATTGAAAGCCAGTATGGACAGCCCAAGTTGAATAAGACTGCTATTCCCTCGTTCTGTCTATCATCAATACATTATTTTGCAATCTGGCATATGGACATCAGTGAGGCTACGATGGCCCATATTGTACGCTACAACCTGCAGATCACCTTCAATTAGGTTAATTAAATAGCTTTATCACATGTTCCGTCACGTTTCACACCTGCTCAATTAATTAAGACAACTAGCTGGAAATAACTTCTGTCGTTTTCCAAGGATGTTCTATTCACTCTTACGGACGTGTGTAATACAGACGTTCGCTGTTTACTGAATAGGAAAGCCAGGCAGCAAAGAGGCAGACATCGTAAATAAGGGGCAATCCCCGACATTATCTGGAGAACAGATTTGCCGATCACATGGAAGCTACTTTGATGATCAATAGAATTGCTACCAGATCTAAACGTACTACTTGGGAAAACAAGCTGGCATGATCAGCATGAACTGTAAAAACCGTGGTTCCTTTGTACACGGGTTGTGCGGTTGTGGGAAAAGAGCCGACCGGGGAAGTCAGTCGGCTGACAAACGGGGACGTTTGAACAAGCCAGCTGACGTTTACTACCGCAGTGGTATTTGGAGAAAAATCATAATTTGAAGGCTGTCCATTGGCTTCATTTTCAAAGGCCCTCTCAGTAGGCTAAAAAAGAGAACCGATACCATAAAGGAAACTACCCACAAGGTTCCTGAAAACGCTTCGACAGCCCACGACCGGTTTCGCCTTACTTGGGGCTCCTCAGTCCCCATTACGAAAATGTCCTGCGGTATCTCGAATATCGTGCCAACTGCAACATGAGGCGGCCTGTGTGCAGCACATTCAGTCGTAGAATATCAAAAACGAGAGATTCCGTTGAGTCTCTCGTAAAGACCAAATTGATTTGCAAATGAGTGTATTTTAATAGACAAGCATTTTGAATAGAGTTCATGAGACATTTTGCGAATGAGGCATATATCAGAAAGTACGGCGGCATTTCAGACTGCTCCTAGGAATGACACTCAGATTGAAGGGCAAATCGAACAGAACTAAGCAGTGTGTGAAATGTGCTTGAAGCTGGGTTGGCGGACTTTACACGCTATCATCAATCACAATCAAGAGCCGGTTGTCCGCATCGACTATCTCTCTACGAGATAAACTATGCATCATTAGCAATTGGCATCATTAGCATTAGTACTAGGATGCCAGGTGCTAATCATTCGATTGTTCATCACCACCACTGTCAGCTGTAAGAACCGCGTACTTGTCGTACAGTGGTTGTAGCTGCCACAGTTTCGTTCAACGGTGATTCGGGGTGGTGGGTTAGCTAGCTGCGCATTGGGGGCGGGAGCTGATAAATTAATGCGTAAATACAGTTCTGTGGGGTGGACTGCTAAGTGAAGGAATTGGGAAGCGAGCTATGCATTTAGGGAATGAGCGCCATTGAGGGCGCGACTGAGACATGTCTGACAATATCTCTAACCATCGATATGGTCCTTCTCGGGGTCCCCATCCAGTAAGGCGGCAGTGACCAGTGCAGCTGAGTTTGCTGGTAATGGTTTTCAAACTTCGCTGCCAAGTCATTGTTTGAC